TAGTAAGTGAAAACAAATGTCTAGGAATTTAGATTTAATCCAGCAACACTTCTCTAATAGATACCCTTAAGCATCCTTCATTAATTAACTTTTCTCCTGTGCATCAATAGTGATACTAATTAGATACCATCTTTGAAAGAATTGAGAAATAGTCACTTAATCAGCTGAATCATTTTCAATAGTATAGAAAACAAGAAGTTTGACACCTTAAAACAAGAATTATCAGTATTAGTGACCACTGTAGAAGATGGACTCTAGCAGAGTGATGGACATTTGAAGTAGAAAAGAAATAAAAGCTTGAACCATGGCAGTGACATGGTTCACTCTATGGGAAGGAATAATTCAAGAGACATAGAGAGACTCAGTAGGACTGATTTATGGATTTTATGCCAGTTGAGGATGATTGAGAATTTGGAGGTTATTCTGTTATTTCCATGTTGTAGAAACTAAATGAATCATTGACCACGTTGGAAATCTTTGAGGAAAAACAATTGATTTGGGAATGCTAATGATTTCTACTTGGATTATGTTAGATTTTAAGTATGTAGAGGAAATAAATGATTTGGAAGTTCTTAGTATACAGATGGTAATTAAGCTGTGAGATGATTATTTCAAGGGTAAATGAAAGAGACAAACCTTCTATAGGACTTGTTTGAGTTATCAAGTGCTGTTATAACAGAAATACCACTAATGAATGGCTTAGCAAACAAAATTATTTTCTAACAGTTTAGGAGGCTAGAAGTCCAAATTTAGGGCACTGCTCACTTTAGGGCAACGGTTTTCTCCTCTGTTGACTAGGGGATGGTCCAGCTCGTTTAAAACATACCCTACATTGATATGACCTCTTAACATAAGAAAGAAAATTTATTCCCAAATGGGATTACAACTACAAGTCTTGGGGTCAGGATTTACAACACATATTTGAGGGGGACACAATTCAATATATAGCAGGGCTTTTGATGGGAGAAAAAAATAATGCCCACATGAAACTGATATCCCAGGCCAGCCCCAATTATGAGTTTGAAGTTTGAATTCATGCTGCTTTTATGGCTCAGGAACTTCTAAACATAAAAATTGGTCTTGAGTAATGATATTTATGGCAGAATCAAATGTAAAAGCAGCCTAGAAGAAAATTCATGACCAAAAACATCCTATATTCCTTTACAAGAATGTTACCTTCATGTGAGTACCAAAACCAAAAACCAAACTCACTGCCATCGGGTTAGATCCGACTCATAGAGACACCTCCTTGGGTTTCTGAAGTGGTACCACTACAGAAGTAGATTGCCCAACCTTACTTCCAAGGAGTGGCTGGTGGGTTTGAACCATCAGCCTTCTGGTTAGTAGTCAAAAGCATTAGGCACTATGCTACCAGAGCTTAGACAGGTTATTTAACCTTTCTTTGTTTCAGTTTTCTCATATGAAAATTGGGCATAACAACAGTACATATTGTTGGTCTGAGGATTAAATGGCTTAATATTTGTAAAGCCTTTAGAGCAGTGCTGTGCATATCATAAATACTAAATAAATGCCTGATTAGTGATAAAATACCTTTTTTCACCATATATTGTGGTCATATGGTTTGAATTAGATAGATTTCCAGTGTTGTACATTTATTCAGCATATATTCTTTTCATGCTTACCTAGATTCTATGGTCTAGTGTTCTATTTTAATTTTTTTGCATCTACATTTGTATATGAGAGGAGCCCCTAGTTTTTGTTTAGTTTTTATTTTGCTTTTAGAATATCATTACTAATCACTGGCATTAAACTTATGGATTTGTAAAACTTAATACCAATTTATTATTTTCAGTAGTTGAAATAATTTTGTATTTGGCAATTTCTGTTTATAAAAGATTATCTGGAACTTTGGTAAAAATTATCTGGTTCTTACAACTGTTTAGTTATAGACCATCATGATCCTTTCCATTAAAAAAAATTGTATTTCTTCTTGTATAAATTTTTCTGAATTTTTTAATTTCTTTCTGTAGAAAGCAAGAGAGAAGAATGTTAATATCTGTTACGTCTAGGTGATTGGGTTTTCATTTTTAAAAATATTTAAAATTTTTTAAAGCTAAGTTTTCACTACTAGCCTCAAGTGCTTGTTATTGTTAAGGGCTGAGTCAGTTTCTCACTCAATGTCCCCGTGTGGCAAAGTAGAACAGCCCTATGATAGGGTTTTCTAGGCTGAAGAAACCTTCATGGTGCAGTGGTTTACTGCTCTGCTGCTAACCAAAAAGTCAATGGTTTGAACCTACCAGCTACTCCCTATGACAGCGATGTGCAGTCTGCTACCATAATGATTGTTGTTGTTGTTATGTGCCATTGAGTCGTCCCCGACTCATAGCGACCCCTCCTTGGGTTTCCGAGGCAGTATCACTACAGAAGTAGATCGCCCCATCTTCCTTCTGAGGAGTGGCTGGTGGGTTTGAATCGCCATCCTTCTGGTTAGCAATCAAGTGCCTTAGGCACTATGCTACCAGGGCTCCTACCATAATGATTACAGCCTTGGAAATGTTGTAGAACAGTTCTGCTCTGAACTATAGGGGCACTGTGAGTAGGAAATATCTCCACAGCAATGTGTTTGCTGGGTTAGAAATCTCCCATGAAGTCACTGAGTGGGTTCAGACCACAGCCTTTCAGGTAGCTCCTTCAAATGCTTACATGACAGCTGTTACCAGATAAGAAACTGACATATGCAAGAGGGGATTTGTATTAGTCTGTTTTGCACAATAATTGTTAAATTGCAAATCACCCCTCAAACACAGTCGCTTAAAGCCTAAAACATGTAGTCTCATGGTTACTGGTTGACACGTCTACTCATTTGGTAGATTATCTGGACTCTTCTAGATGACTTAGATTTAGACTGCAGGCTGTCTGACTGAGTTTGACTTAAGGTGCAAAGTTAGGCTCAGTTCTGCTTCTGGGGCCCTAAGTGGCAGCAGCTGCCTACATGATGCTTTTCAGGTGATTGATCACTGGAGACAAAAGCCATGCCAAACTGAGTAACCACATTTAAGATCTCTAGTTGATATTCTTGTCACACCTGATAATAATCCATTGATCAAAGCAAGTTTCATGCCCTAGTATAATAGCAATGGTCAGAAAGTATACTCAGCCTAGAGTAGGAGGGTGGGGGTGAAATGACTATTTGATGAACAGTAATACATTTTGTTATACTTTTCACCTGCATTGAAATAAAATGACTCAACTGGTTTTGGTCTACTCACGTTTATATAGCTTGCCCCTACTGGAAGCAGCGCCTTACAAAGAGTATTACTAACATATGGTGCCTTACACAATTTCAAATGGAACACCCTCCCCCTGGATTGATAGAACCCATCATGTATGTAGCTTGGTGAATGTGAGCTGCATTCAACTTCCACCTGCCCTCTTGGCTGGGTGATTTAGTCCTGGGCACAATCTGTTAAACACTATTTGATGGCTCTGGCCTTTCCTTGGGCAAAACTGTAAAATTAGAAAAAGTTTACTTTGAGCTCTTTCTTTAATACACCCTTCCTTTCTTCTTTGTTTTGTTACTGTTGTTGTTTCCATGCTATGTGTTAACTATCCATGGTTATCCTTGATATGAAACCTCCCACCAAGCTTCTTATTGGTTACTGACTTTCACTCTGAAGAAAGACTACTCCAGGCTTGGAGGCTCAGGTCTGTACTTTCAGGGAACATCAAGATCAGTTGGCATAACACAGTCCATAAAGACAATGTTCTGCAGCCTACTTTAGTGAATAATGATGGGGGTCTTAAAAGCTTGCAAGTAGACATCTAAGATGCAATTACTGGTCTGTCCTCGTCTGGAGCAAAGAAAAGTGAAGAACCCAAAGACACATGGAAACAATTAGTTCAAAGGACAAATGGACCACATGAAACTCATTGTCCATGACCTGGAGATCAGAAGAACTAAATAGTGCCTGGCTACCACTGCCAAACACTGTGAAAGGAATCACAATAGGAGAACCTGGATAGAGTGGGAGAAAAGTGTGGAACAAAATTCAATATAATAAGAGACCAAGCTTACTGGTCTGAAAGGGACTGGTGGCAGCCCCAAAACTCTGGCCCTCACTCACCCTTCAACCCTGAAACTGAACTGACTCACATGGCTCAACTTTCAGCCAAATAATAGACAAGCTTATGGGGTGAACAGTAGTACCAGCGAGTTATTTTCCCCTTAGAACAATCAACCATATGAGATCAAAAGGCCAGCATTTGCCCAGGCAAGAATGGATAGGAAAGAAGGACAAAGGGAAATAGTAACTACAGGGAGGACATGGAAAGAGTTACAGTGTGACAGCTGTATTCAATGTCACAAAACAAAACATGTATGAATGGTTGAGTGGGAACCAGTTTGCTATGTAAACATACACTCAACTTACAATAATAAGTTTAGGAAAAAAAAAGGCTAAACAGCCTTGCCCAGGCTCTTGATGTTTCACTTTTCCCTACTGACAGAAAGAAAGAAAGAAACTGGTTGCCATCCATGAGTTAGTACATTCTGACTCATGGTGAGCCCTCCCATCATATTTAAACTCTCAGCATAAGCACAAAAGCACCCTGTGTTTCTCATAAAGCAGAAGTCACATGGAGTCACATGATCTCTAGAAATTTCATCAGAGAAGCATTTTATATTTGCATCCTTTTCTGCTTAAATTTTGTTTTAGATCAGCGCAAATGATTTATTATTTGTCTTAATCTAAAAAAAAAAAAACAATAGAATAGGTCAAATACTTCAGGAAAACTGCTTTCATATAAATGTTCTGGAGCAGTCAAAGAGGTGGGTTTTTGTTTTGTTTTGTTTTTGTTTTACTATGTTTATAAACAAATCCAGAAATGTATATTCATTTAATGAGGGAAATAATATTCCTGGTTATGTATGGCACATAATATTAATATAATATTTGCTTCATTTTACTACAACATTGAATGTAGTTTGTTATTAGTTTTCTAGACTTCCTCAAGACTGTGTTTTATTTTTCCCAATTTAGATTAAATCTCTTGATGAAGCAACTATAGTTGGCAAAATTTCAAAACACTGGACTGGACTTTTGAAAGAGGCTTTTACAGATGCTGATAACTTTGGGATCCAATTCCCTTTAGATCTGGATGTTAAAATGAAAGCTGTGATGCTGGGCGCATGTTTCCTCATTGTAAGTCTTTTCTCACTGGTTATGGACATTTTATCCTTCTGAAAAGATTGAGTAATCGTACCTTTTAAAATTACCTTCTAATATGTTATAGAGAGGTCTTGTCTTTGGGGTTTTCATTTAAAAAAAATTGCAATTGGTGCTCTGATACATCCCCAATCTATTCAGAATTTTTGGCTACAAATTTGAAGGTTTCCTCTGCTCTCTCAGAATACCAGCTGTAAGCCCATAGGTTTTTCAGGGTACTCCTCACTTCTGCCCTGCTGGCTTCCACTACACCCTGTAATAGGGGAAAACCAAACCAAAAACCAGACTCACTTGCCGTCGAGTCAATTCCAACTCATAGTGACCCCATTGGGTTCCAGGGCTATAAATCTTTATGGAGTAGGTCATCCCATCTTTCTTCCATGGTGTGGCTGGTGGGTTTGAACCACTGACCTTCTGGTTATCAGCCAGATGCCTTATCCACTATGCCACAGCTTCAGTAGAGACACTTTTATTAAGCCTTGGGCATGACAAGGACAAAACAAAGACAATCATCCAAGATGAGGGAAACCATCAGCATGTACACAACACAGAAAGCTGAATGGAGTCTGTTGAATGATGACCATTGGGCTAATTATACATGATTGAAAAAAGGAATCATCACACAATCATGATTGGTGGTAGATGGATTCATCACTGCTGGAGGTGGGACTACAGAAGCAGGGGAAAGACCATGATTGGAATACGTACATAACTGAAGATAGAAGAGGGTTATAGGATTGGTTCTGGGCCTTGACTACCTGGCTAGGTGGTGGTCTGGAGAGGCTGTAACTCATGATCATGTAGCCTGAGTCTTAGCCACAAGATGGCTACCAAACAATACCAAGACTCCAACCTTAATATAAATTAGAAAAGGACACTCTCAGGCAAGTTCTTTGTATGAGGATAATCTACTCTCAGCCATACTCTTCCTGAAGGAAAACTGCCCCTCCCTAGATCTTGTCTATGCATAAACATAATGCTAGTGTAATGGTCAGAAAAAACCCAAATGGCATATGAACCTTATCTCAAGCCTCAAAATAGAGTTAGGGCTCCCATTGCAGACCAGAGCCTTCCAAAAACCAAGTGCTTAGAATTTAAGCTCTAATACATCCCTCAAGTTTTGAATAATTTGCTGGAATGACTCACAGAACTCAGAGAAGAGCTATGCTTACAACTATAATTTTATTATAGCAAAAATGATACAATAGAATGACCCATAGGACAAGACCTGGGAAGTTCCTAATGCAGAGCTTCCATGTCCCAAAATGAGATCTGCTACCCTCCTCCATGCATGGAAATCTCACACCAACCCATAAAGCTTCCCTGTCTAGAACCTTCGTTGGGCCCTCATCTTGTAGGTCTGATTGACCTGTGAGGTTACATGAAGTAAAGTGCTTGGTCTTTCTGGGATGGCCAGTTCCCACCAGTGTTACCTCATTAGCATAACCTGTTAAATAGGTGTTCTGGTTACCTAGCGCCACTCTGACAAGAATATACCACAAATGGGATGCTTAAACAAACAGGAGTTTATTCTCTTGCAGTTTGGAGACTTTAAGTCCAAGTTCAAAGTGCCAGGCTCTAGGCGCTGGGTGAAAGCCCCTCAAACTTGGACTTGAGCTCTGCCTCCTGTTCCTGGCCCACTGGAGCTAGAGGCTTTTCTTCACTCAGGCAACTACTGTCTGCTGAGAATGACAAGCCCAAGGTTGACAAGTAAAAAGGCACAGTCCTGATGTTACCAAACCACATGGCAGGCCATTAATTCAAATCCACTGAAAGCCCCGTGGTCAGCAGAGTATGGCAGGCTGCTGAACAATGACATGGCTACCTGTAGGGTTCAACCATGCCATAAGCTAGAGACCATTCCCAAAGTTGCTTCTTATATAAGGGAAGCAGACCACATCCCTAAGCTACTCAGCTGCTCCAATACATTCCACCATGGAGTTAATTACCAGTCTCACCATGGGGAGTACTACATCCAGCTGCCCAGCCACTCAAAACCAGGCCCAGCCAAGTTGACACAAAAATTTATCTACCGCAATAAGTGTAGTCTTGGAAGAGCCCTTCTAGATAAAATACAATCCTTGGGGGAGTTCCAAGTTTTAGAGGTTAATCTTTCAGGAACCAAGGATAAATTCTTTGAGTAAAATCATTCCCACATGGGAATACTTGGATTTTGGGTTTACATGGAATAAAACTCAGTGAAGCCGGGAGATTTCATTGTCAGATTGAATCATCTAATATAGAATTATAAACTGCAGTAGAAGTATAAATCTCTACCTCTGTTATATTCATGCCAAAACAATAAAATCTAAATCCAATTAAAATCTGATTACCAATTATTTATAGGAAATACATGGTAAATGTCAAACTTTTCTGCCCATTACATTCACCTATGGAGCTTAAAAAACCCCACAGCTCCAGGCCGTACCTGTTTTAGCTAAATCAGAATGCTGATCTGAATCAGCAGTTTTTGAAACCCCTCAGATTATTCCAATATGGAACCAAAACTGCAGACCACTGGGACAGAGTAGTGGTTCTCAACCATGTCTGAACAGTAAAACATCTGAGGGACTTTCAGAATCCTCGTGTCCAACAGCACCCAATCTATTAAATTAAAATCTCCACAGAAGGGCCTATATATATACTTGAGAGCTCCCACATGATTCCATGTGGAAACAAAGTTGAAAATAACTGGATGAATATCCTTTCCATTAATTTGTGGATGCAATTAGGACACCCTAATGTGTGAAATTTTATATTGCAAGAAGAACTCAATTTCTTCAACAAATAAATGACAAGGAAAAGAGAAATATAATAAGTATTTTATTTTTTTAGATGTGATGGTGATATTTTGCTTAGGTAAAAACAAACCATAGCCAATTTTTTAGAGGCACATGCTGAATTATTTCAGTATAAAGTGATATGATATCAGGGATTTGCTTTTAAATAGTGGGGCATGGGCAGGAGGAGCTTGGGGAGTGACAGAGGAAATAAGACAGACCATGTGAGTAGATACTGAAGCTAGGTGAGGTGCCATGGGAGCATCATCATGCTATTCTATTTGGGATATGTTTAATACTGTCTGTAATAAAGTTTTAGCATTTTATATAATCAGAGATGGAATATTAGTCAATGTTTACAAATCCTGTTTTCAAAAAATGTTCATTTCACATAAATCAGTAAAATTTATGTTGAAACATGAGGAACTATTTAACCAAAGACAGGGTAGTGTGAAAGCCATCGTGGTATGTTTGAGGCAGAGAGGGCAGTCTGGTGTGTTTGGGCTGATGAGAAATAGAGCTAGGGAGTTGGCAAGATTCTTAGAAGATGACTGTGGAGTTGACTAACCTTCTGCCGAAGGACCTTTCAACGTTGGGCAATTACTTGTAGACATTGGTAAGTCATTGAAAGTAGTTTGATTAATTGGATACATTTAAAGTAGGTGTAAATAAAGTAGTTGTGAATCCAACTTTCAGAAAGATAAACCCTGGTGACTATGTGACAAGTAGATAGCAAAGAAATAAAATTATAATAATTCAAGAGAACAGGATTAAGGACTAAATTATTTCTTTGTAAAGGAAAAAAGGAGATTGATAGCTGTGAAAGAAGTAAAGCCAATTGGATTTGGTTTGAAGTCACAGAAGGTAAAGTCTGGTGAGATATTGATGGAGTGAAATAATTTGGGAAGAGAAAAAAAGCATGGTATAGAATATTCTAAAATGCCTTCTAATTCTCAGATGGCTGTTACTCTCCCAAAAAACAAAAACAAAAGCCCTAAAAGTTGTACATGGAACATCAGTTTGGTCACAAGAATAGTCATATTACAAGAGAAATACTAAAACAAATTTGAAGGAAATAAATTGAAAGAGGAAGATTCCCAGCAGTATGAGAAAAAGAGAAATTATCAGAAAATTAATTAAATCTATGTAGGTATCAATAAAGGTATACAATTATAGGTTTTAATTCCTAATAAAATGAAAAATAAAATGGAAAGCTGTATATAGATGTCACTCTTTTCCCAATTTTAATTATTACATTTAATTTTTCTTGTTTCACAGATATGTTACTCTAGTTCATCAAATCCCATTAGTATTTCTGTACCTGAAACTTGATCTCTGTTTTGTTGCTGAAAACTTATTTCTGTATTTTTGTTTTTTGTCTAGGACTTCATGTTTTTTGAAAGAAGCGGAAACCCGGAACAGAGATCAGGGGTGTGGTAGTGAAATGATGAGAGTTTCTGCAAAAAATTTGATGGCTGCATATTCAAATGGAAAACTCAGTGGCTTTTTTTTCCCCCTATATTGAAATGATTTCTAATGTATAAATGATACAGTGATGCCTGCCACTTTACTTTTCAAATTACAGTTGTTTTTTTTTCCTGATTACTGGCTTTTAAATGTCTTTTTACATTTTTGTTGAATGTTCACTGTGTATTTTTGAGACAAGGCATATGACTTTATATATTTAGACATGATCTTAAAAGAAAACTGCTTTGAATTACAGAATTACAGTCTGATTTATTTTCCATTTTTATAGAAAAATTTAATTGAAACTTTATTATTAAAATACATGAATTTAAAAATACTATTATTAAATGTAGTTATCACTTATCATAGAATAACTTCTTTTAAAATATGGAATATTCAAGAATGTTAAAGATTAATTATTTCAGTTTTCTTTACCGTTGTATACTGATGCTACTCAATATGTATATTAGTGAGAGAAAATAAAATGTGTCTTTTAATCTTCAGTAAATCACACTATACTCAACTTCTCCTGTAAGTTAATTTGCTACTATTAGCTTTTCATACTAAACAGACAAGAAGTTATCTGTGAAGAAAGAAAGACTTTCTTTCCCAAAGAAGTACACATTTTAAAGACTCATTTGTTCAAAAACTGGGGTATGGTTGTAGTTTTTGAAGTAATTATTTACAAGTGGAAAGTTACATCCTATATTCTGTCATTCCTAAAACATAGTATTTACCAGATTACCCAGGTGTTGATTAAATAGAACATACATGTACCTTCACAGAATACCAACTTAAACAATCACATTAACTGAAATAAAATAAAATAGAAAAAAAAAAAAAATTGAATAATTCTTTGCCTGTTTGATTTTTATTTTTAAACATTGTGGATAATCCATTCAGGTGGTATTCTGAATGCTGCACATTTAACTTTCCTTCCTTTTCAAGTCTCCATTTAAAAAGAAATAGCAGATAAATTTTTTAGTAAAATCTATGTTAGTGCTAGAAACTAGGCTGTCTACCTATCAGAAAGTTAAAGGAATTAATATAAGATGTTGGATAGGTAAGAGTGAGAGAAGCGATGACCAACTCACAATTTATCTCATGCAAAGTAAGTATGCATAAGAAAAAGGTGAGGAAGGACTCCCTTTCTTCTTCAATGCCATCAAAAGCCACTAGTCCTAATGCTAAGTGCTTGTTGTTGTTAAGTACTGTTGAGTCAGCTCTGACTCTTAGCAATACTGTGTACAACAGAATGAAACATTGCCTGGTCCTGCACCATCCTCATAATTTTTGCTTTGCTTGAGCCCATCATTGCAGCCATTGTGTCAGTCTATCTCATTGAGGGTCTTCCCTTCTTCACTGACACCCTACTTTACAATGCATGATATCTTTTTCCAGGGAATGGTCCCTTCTGACCACATGACCAAAGCAATGCTTGGCCATTCTCACTTCCAAAGAGCATTCCAGTTACACTTCTGCCAGGACAGATTTATTCATTCTTCTGGCAGTCCATGTTATTTTCAGTATTCTTCACCAACACCTCAATTCAAAGGCATCAACTACTTCAGTCTTCCTTATTCGTTGTCCAGCTTTTGCATGCATATGAGGCTATTAAGAATACCATGGTTTGAGTTAGGTGTACTTTAGTCTTCAAAGTAGCATCTTTGCTTCTTAACACTTCAACGAGGTCTTTTACAGCAGATTTTCCAGTGTAGTACGACATCTGATTTCCTGACTGCTGCTTCCCTGGGTGTTGGCAGTAGATCCAAGTAAAATGAAGTCCCTGACAACTTCAGCCTTTTCTTTGTTTATCATGATGTTGCTTATTGGTCCAGTTGTGAGGATTCTTGTTTCCTTTGTGTTGAGGTGCAGTCCATACTGAGCACTGTAGTCTTTGATCTTTTATCAGTGAATGCTTCAAGTCATACTCATTTTCAGCAAGCCAGGGTTGTGTCATCTATGAATTGCAGATTGTTAATTTTTCATCCTCCAATCTTGGTGCTTTGTTCTTCTTCATATAGTCTAGCTTCTCGGATTATTTGCTCAGCATACAGATTGAATAAGTACGGTGAAAGGACACAACCTGAAGTACACCCTTCTTGATTTTAAACCATGCAGTATTCCCTTGTTCTAATCTACTCCCGTAGTGATACTGCCTCGGAAACCCAAGGAGGGGTCGCTATGTGTCGAGTCCGACTCAATGGCACACAACAACAACAACAACATTTGAACAATAGCCTCTTGGTCTATGCACAGGTTCCTCATGAGAACAATTTAGTGTTCTGGAATTATTCTTCTTCACAATGTTATCCATAGTATGTTATGACCCACATAGTTGAATGCCTTTGCATAGTCAATAAAACACAAATAGACATCTTTCTGGTATTCTTTGCTTTCAGGCAAGATCCATCTGTCACCAGCAATGATATTCCTGGTTCCACATCCTCTTCTGAATCCAGCTTGCATTCTGGAAGTTCCCTGTCAATAAACTGCTGCAACTATTTTTTTATCTTCAGCAAAATTTTACTTGCATGTGATATTAATGATATTATTCAATAATTTCCACATTTTGTTGAATCAGCATTCTTTGGAATGGGCCCAAATACTGATCTCTGCCACTCAGTTGGCCAAGTAGCTGTCTTCCAAATTTCTTGACATATATGAGTAAGCAACTCTAGCACTGCATCCATTTGTTGAAACATCTCCATGGGTGTTCTGTCAATTCCTGGAGCCCTGTTTTTCACTGAAGACTTCAGTGCAGCTTGTACTTCTTCCTGCAATACCATTGACTCTTGATCATCTGCTATGTTCTGAAATAGTTGGACATTGACCAATTCTCTTTGGTACAATGCTGAATTCCTTCCATCTTCTTTTGATGCTTCCTGCATCATTCAATATTTTGTCCATAGAACTCTATATTTCAACTCAAGCCTTGAATTTTTTTTCTTTAGGTCTTTCAGCTTGAGAAATGCTGAGGGAGTCCTTCCCTTTTGGTTTTCTAACTCCAGGTCTTTACACATTTCCTTTGATACTTTGTTTTCTCCAGCCATCCTTTGAAATCTTCAGTTCTTTTATTTCAGCATTTCTTCCTTTCACTTTAGCTACTCTACGTTCAAGAACAAGTTTTGGAGTCTTCTCTTTTTGGCCTTTTCTTTCCTGTCTTTTTAATGACTATTTGCTTTCTTCATATATGATGCTGTTGATATCATCACATAATGCATCTGGTCATTGGTCATTGGTGTTCAGCCTATCAAATCTGTTCTTCAGATGGTCTCTAAATTCAGATGAGATACATTCAATATCATATTTTGGCTCTTGTGTACTTGTTTTAATTTCTTTCAGCTTCAACTTGAACTTGTGATAGGATAATGCCATATGCCTACAAGGAAGACCAGGAACACTACTATGCAAATTTACACACCAACCACCAAAGATAAAGATGGTAAGTGCTGCTAGTAACTCACAACTCCACTAACACAACTAATTCTTAACAGCAAATATGAACCTTCAGACACTGGAGCATTACTGGAAAAGAGAAGCCTAGACAACTTTCCAGTAGTATAAAAAATTCACCAGGTGCCAGTTTTCTATCATTGAACCATATGTTCAACCCCATCTCAAACTCAGCACAGAGAGCACGCCAACTAAAGTAAAGGTACCTGATACCTGGATCCTAGTGGCATTAGGTGTGCAAATTAACTTTCCATGCTAGCTATGTGGTCCCACAACAACTCGGAAATGAAACTGGGAGGTATTGACATTATTTTTGTGACAGATACATTTTCCTCTTTCTTATTGCTTCTAAAAGGACCCTAGATCTCTGGTTAAACAAAATAAAACTGCAAATGATCTGGACAATTCCTTCAGCTGTGCAGGGAAGTTTGAGCCGAAGCCCACAGAATACCCATAGAACTCACTTAAGTTCAAATATTAGACAAATACCTTCTCATTAAATATTTACAAAAAGAAAAATCAACAAACATGACAAATTAGCAATTTAAATTTAAAAAAGTCCAGGAATTGCAACAAGTGTCTTAATTTGTAATCTAATGAAATTTGAGAGAATGCTGAATATTTATTTCTGGAATAGGCAGTGAAGAAAAAGGAACATCTTAATTCGGCACACTTTAACAAGGTAGAAAAATATGATAACCATATTTTAAAGCCTAATGGAAATACTGAAACAGTAGATTGCATAAAGTAGAATGCTAACACAAGTAAGATTTTAGAAATTCTCCCAGAAACCAGAGAAGTACATAAAATATTGAGAGAAAAGTTGAGGCTTGAGCAATAGGTGCATCAGCTTACATTTATGCACAATAAGATTTCCAGAAGCAGAAATTGGAGGGCAAAGAAAAAATACTAAAAAAATTAATTTGCAATCAAGATAGACAGTTGTCTCCAGAAAAATAGATTTATTACATACCTGACAATTGTAATGAAATTATCTATTTGTGATTATTGATAAAACAATTGACTGCATGCCTATAATTCACAGCCACCACTCATCTTTCAGTTTGGCACGCTGTGGTGGTTTGCATATTGCTGTGAGGCTGGAGGCTGTGCCACCAGTATTTCAAATACCAACATGGTCACCCATGGTGGATAGGTTTCAGCAGAGATTCCACATTAAGGTAGATTTGGAAGAAGGAAGGGGCATTCACTTCTCAAAGAACTGGACAGTGAAAACATTGTGAAGAGCAGTGAAACAATGTCTGATATATTACTGGAAAACTTTATGAATAGCCCTGGGACATTGTCTGATATAGTGCCAGAAGATGAGCCCCTCAGGTTGAAAGGCACTAAAAATACAATTGGGAAAGAGACATCTCCTCAGAGTAGAACCTTAATGACATGGATAGTGTAAAACTTTTGGGACTTCCATATGCTGATGTGCATGATTCAAAATTGGAAGAACCAGCTGTAAACATCATTAATAATTGGAACATGGAATGTATGAAGCATGAATG